GGCATTGCGGTTTTATTAAAAATATTGATCTAAACGTTTGTGGTCCAGTGTCTAACTATTGCGTATGAATCTTAATAGAGTTGATATCTATACTTATAAGTGATTATCTTTAATAATATACTTTGCTGCCCTTGATTAGCTTTACTGTTTTTATAATTTCAGGCCACTGATATGATTAATCAACTTGATAAAATCAAGCATGTTATGATCGAGCCCCGCAACTCGACTCTCTTTGAGGCTTGGATGGATGAGTTTTATTCTACCGTGGATGCCGCTATCGCTGGTCGCCTCTTTAGAGAAGAAAAGCAAGATGTCAAAAATGAAGATTTCAGCAGTGATTGCGATCACGAAAAGGACACCTATGTTACCCAGTATAAGCGACATTTCTCAGGAATACAAGATGGATCATCAGCTTTCTCACCATATCTGTATCGATCAAGTCCGTCTAAATGTAGCCCAAGGCAAACAGGTGCTGTCGCTTTTTCTGTGTGTCGAGGTAAAGTAAGCGAAGGTTTAGACTTCGCTGATGCTTACGCACGCCTCGTAATCACTGTCGGTATACCTTACCCGGCCTTCAAAAATCCTCAGGTAAAGAGTAATATGTATTTAAGTAGAGTTTCGAGACTACCAGTAAATCAGTAAGATGAGATGTATTCACCCAATTTCGTTTAAGGTTATGGTAAAACAGGTGACTGTCAGCCAACTAGCCCTAGTCTCCGCCGCGTCTATCCTGTTCCTATACCTAATACCAAGTCCATGACTTGCCATGCACTATTCTTTTGTGTGCCAACCGACAAATGTTGCGGCACTGTTTGCTTTGATTATATTCAATATTAAAACACAACGTTTGTGGGTTGGTACACAAGAAACTAGGGCATTACAAACCATAGAATTGGTATAAGAGATAGAAACAGGATAGACGCGGCGGAGATTAGAGCTAGTTGGCTGACAATAGGCCTGTTTTACTAGACGTGGTCCATATGGTAAGGGCTTGAACACGATACTTACTCAGAGGCTTTAGCCTTGAATTAGTCACCCAGACGCAGGGGGTGGGTAATAATACCTCGAGTAGTACAGATGGGGTGGCAGGGGTCGAGTGAAATACTTGAACCAGGGATATATCAGACTCGTCCTACGGGGCAAGATGGAGACTGATAAGACCTATGGAAGGAGAACTGTGTAAGAATATGTCAAAATCTGATCAACATTCCCAGCACAAGGGTGAAGGGTGTGAGAACGCCAGAGTGGAGTGTGGAGGGTTCTCATGAAAGCCGCTCAAAAGGGCACACTACACTAGATTTAAATAAGCAAGGAAAAATTGTTATAGTGAAGGCGACGCGAAAATATAGGAGGTAAATAGCCCAAGAAAAAAGGAGAGATACCACAACCGTTTAGCACACATCCTGTAAAATAATCGGATTAACCTATCTCTGATGAGTTGTATGATGCTAAGAATGGCAAGACTCATTGACGATGCCGGCGAAACATCTGGGAATTTACGACATTATGGGTCCGACTTTGAAAATTATCATGTATACAATCGACTCCGGATTAGGTGCATTCCTCTACGTTTTCCTACCTATATGATCAAGTTGCGAAAACAACTTCTATGCAACGAAAGGAGACTGTGACCACACAAAGGGCCACACCATCTTGGTTTTCATATCTTCGATTAAATTACTCACATCATTGTGGCAAATTTCGACTACCAGTTCTTCATCACCCGAAACGAAATAGAGTGAATATATCTGAGTTTTATTATAATCTAGCTCATTTGCATAAATATTCCTATTTGCTTTTTGGGCTTTGTTCACACCTGGAAATAATTGAATTCGATTTTTGCTGATTGATATATCTCAGTCTAGGAATAAATTCCCCTGCAGCAGCTCCAATTCCTAAGGACTTTGTGCAGCCGAAGGCTCCTTTCAGCTCAGTAGACAGCCTATAGGGAATACTGTCTTGACTTACATCAGCATGAGGGCTTGGAAGGCTAATCTCTTGCATTCTCTCTTAAAATAAATATACATGTGGCACCCACCCACCTTATTTTCTAAAGAGTTGGCTCCTCTTTATAGATACGTAGAGTATTTGGGTTTCAATGAGATAATGTTATTAGGGGACTTTCATTTCGTATAAAAGTGCATAAGGATGGGATTCGTAGGTCAATATTATCAAAATACGGCTGAATCCCGTTTTACTGCAGCCGTTTGGCTTTTATATGACGTTCAGCCTGACACAATCCCTCGTTTACGGTGAAAACGAGCTGAGCTTTTGTCCATCATATGATGAACATCATCAGAGCCGAGAGTCATTCTTGTAAAAGTCTCGAGTTAGTACATAGCAAGAAGCCCCTTAAGAGTGAGTTCCAGCTCTGATGATGTCTACCGTATGATGGAAGTAAGCTCAGCCCGTTCATATACGAACGGGTCTGAAGATCATATAAAAGCCAAACGGCTGCAGTACAACGGAATTCAGCCGTCTTTTGATGAAATCGACCTACGAATCTCATTTGCGTGCACTTTCATACGAAATGAGAGCCCCAAAAATATTAACTCGGCTTTTTGCATGTTAATCGGTCTTACCAAACATACATACGAAAATGAATTCGCCTCCCTGTATTCCTCCCAACTTTATATTAATTTAATAGTGCTTTGACATTTTCTAGAAAAATCAATCAGCACCAAAGTCAACGATATTGAAACGATTTTATGCTTGATGTCTTACTTTTCGATTACTATTTTAGTAAGACCGATACTAATGCATCAATCTATACATACTCCTGCCTACCTATCGACCATGCCGACTTTTTCCTACAGGTTGAGCAGAAACGTGCTTACAACGATTTCTTGCACCAGCGCCATGGGACCACCGATTCCGGGCTACTTAGGCCCAATTCAATCGTAGACACAGCTAAGAGTGATTCTGGGGAACGACGTCTATCCGGATCTGAGTGGTACGAGGCTCAGGCATTCAGAGCCCTTAATCAGGCGATTGGTAGATGTATCCGCCATCGAAATGATTGGGGGGCCGTGCTTCTAGTAGACTCGAGGTTTGTTGAACAGCCAGATCGACACACGCAATCTATTAGCCGATGGATCCGAAGCCGGTAAGCTATCTAGAGCTTTTTTCCTAATTAAGACATTGTGATAGCATGCATGGATAGCGAGGGGTCGATGGAGCCTTTTCTCGATTTATTTTACCATTTGTCCTTTGCATACTGCCCAATTATTTGATGTCAGCATTAAAGTGTAATTAACAGGTTTTCAGCCGTCCAAAATATGACAAGGATTTGAAAATCCAATAACCTAGACCCCTGGCGCATAAAATCCCATTATTTATAGCAGGTTAAAGTGTTTCCGATTAGGATAAGATAGCGCCTTAGGCCTCAATTCAGCGAGTTTATGGACACCTTTCTTGTTAAATCACTTGCCGGATATTGCAAAAGCTGATTTTGTTAAATTACCAGAACTCATTTGAATTGGCTACATAATCAAGTTAGTGACCCTGTCGAATATTGATTTACCTAGAGGCCCAACGACTTGGCTTTTATATAAAAATTCCCCGTTTTATATAATCTACCCACCCCTCCTTTTTTAGAATAATCAGGTATCGGAGTTGGGAAGATGTGGTCGGCCCACTCACCAGCTTCTTCACTAGCCGACAATCAGACGACCTTGTGGGGAAGCAAGTTGAAGAGACCTTTGATCTGGCGCTGAATTGACTATATTTGCACTTGTAAATACATTTAATGATTGCGCATCATAGTTGTTTAATCTACAATTCTCGCATCAGAATAATACTATCAAAATTCCTCCCTAGATTGTTCTGAAGTTGAGCGTAGTCTCCATAAGCCCACTGTTGGCTGATTCAATTGGCGACAATGCATATGAAAACATAGTAAATACGGAAGAGCACGCGTTTAATCCGGATAGACCGAATCAGAAGTTTGATCAAAATGCTGTCCCCCATGTAAATGGGGGAAGACTTGGCTTCTTACATAAGTAAATTTTCATGTAGGTAAGGGCCACACGATTGCGCTGCAGTTGTAGTGCATCCCCAGGACGTTCATAGGCTTGCCCCAGGCAAGCTTGATTTCAGCCCAGCACAGATGAAAGAGCCTTGCAGATGGGAATAAATGGTCTCCTTTAATAGACCTAAGGCAAATATTCGATAAAGACCTTAGGGACTCACATACATGTCGCCGGTACGAGGATGAAAATACAACTTTAGGTCAGTTGACGAAGCTATAAGGATTTGTGGCATCTATTTTTATTCGACGCAGTCAATAGTCGATAAAGGAGAGCTGGGCACCAGCTGTAGGTAGCATATAACTTTGGATGGAAGGAGGATTTGCCTAGGTAGCGTAAGTGTATAACTGCTAAAGCCGAACAGGAATCAGTTAGACCCTAGCCCTAGGTGACGATGACCCAAATAAACAGAGAAATAGGCGTGCTATTAGTTTAGAACAATTAGAAGAATTGGTTTGATATAAACATGCTTTAAGATTAGCTAGGGTATCTCGCCAGTCTAACTAGGCTGACAATATTTGGAATTTACATTCCACTTGTTCCTGAGACCTCTTCGACACTTTCGGGCTCACTATAAAGGGATAATATTAAAATTAGAGATGGCAAGTAGGAACATAATTCAGTCGCATGGGGACTTACATAATCCGAACGCCGCAATCTTTGGCTAGTAGGTTCATCTGATTGTGGTTTCTAAGTTGCAGGAGTCGGTTTATGTCGCAAATACGTTGCTTGCGCACCTCATTAAGCCTCTCCTGGATGGTCATTTCGCGCTTCTGCAGATATCTTAGCCGGTAGTGTCCGTAAATAATACCCAGGGCCAGAAGAGACCAGCGAGTAGTGCGAATAATTGGGACCACCTCGCGTGGTGGTCTCAGTGACATCTGGTGATTTTAAAGACAAGACGAAAAATAAGAAAATGCTCAATCAGGGCGGATTATGTGACATAAAACAGGATGGCAATCAAGGAGAGCACTGGGGAAATTATGATCTGTGATTAATAAAAAAGGATGGAACAGAGTAAAAAAATAGATTGGCCAACCTCGAAATTGGGCTAAAGAACCGCCAAGTAAGAAGCATGTACAAACAAAACTGTGGTTTATAAACGCTTTATTATTATTTGATGCTCTTAATATCGAAATAAAAAGCAATATTAGTAGAAGCTAATTAATTTGATTGTTATAGTACAGTCTATCTATGCTTTCTGCTTAATTTTGGCCTATTGCATATTTTAAAGCAAATTATACTGTGGATTCGTTCTAGATTTTATAAGCCATAGTGGAAAAACCTTGGTAACTTAAAGTTTATTTAACAGATTCACAAATTAAAGCAATAGCGATAAGCAGTAGATAATCTATGACGATATCATTCATAGCTACATATTTCTCCTTAATGCTCAATAATTTTGAGAGGCGAGGCTAAATAAGCTCTAAGGACATCTGAGAATTTCTGGTCATTTCGCTTTGTAGAATTTTAATAATGATCCGTGCACCTGATTAAACTATCTAGGCGCAATCGAGCCCTCTATATAATTATACATAAGAATGATGCCCGATTCTCACGATGTCCGTAATATAGTGTGGA